GATGATCAATCAAAGATGAACTAAAAGAGTTTTCAAAGATGCGATTTAGTTCACTCTGCCATTTTGCCTGTTCGCCGAGCTTGACACTTTACAAACGTTTTGTCATCAACCGAAGTGAAACGGTCAGTGCTTGCGAACTAGCCTTGAAGCATATTCTGCATAGATGGTCTCATCTAGGTTATTGTCATTGATTCTATCCCAGGTGATACATTTCCTAATCAGGATTATGCGGATGATATTGGGCTGCTACGTAAAATCCAGGTAAGCTGAAAGCCATTCTGGATAGCTTGAGTGCCAGCATTATAAAGATGGGTGTGCGTTTTGTGTCTTCAAAGTGTAAAATATTGCTACAAGACTAGGTTGAACCAGCCCCCTGGGGACGTAGTAGAGGAAGTAGACAACTTTTGCTATCTGGTCAGCTGTATTCACCCTGGTGGATGCATCACAGATGAAGTATCTGCACGCATAAAGAACGCTCGAATGGCATTTGTCAACTTGAGACATCTGCGGCACAGCCGCGACATCTGGCCGTCGGTCAACAGTCAAGTATATGCTGCGGCAGTTAGGCCAGTTCTGCTATAGTGAGCAGAAACTTAACTATAGGAATAGCATACAAAGTCGGTATTTGAACCCCGCTGTCTACGAGGCTTTGCATGAGTCTGATGGAGGGGTTTATTGGGTCTCTTTGGGTCTACCTTCAAATTTCCTGACTTTCTCTCATTCTTCATCCAAATGGGAAGACAAAAGCAGCAAACAAAACCAGCGCAAGAAAGTGCATCGTTAAAGGATGTAAAAATTGAAGCAAAATGAACAAAACTTCAATCAAAACTCGTTAAAAAACTCACTCTCCGAAGTGCAGCTTGCAAAGGCCGAAAACACTCCAAACAGCAACTAATTATGGCACTCCTTCANAATCAAATGGGGTAAGTTGAAAGGTCGTCGACCACTTCAAGGTTGCAGTCACCCCCAGTTCTCCGATGCCGGTTTCGCGCTGCACATAACGTTTTCATGGAGCAAGAAAGGTTTGGATGACAACCACGCAGGGTAGTGTTCACGAACTCGTCAACACCGGAACGATTCAATCACTTACCAGTACAGTGGTTTCACACCTGACTGAAACCAATCACACCGTGAACGTGGACGAGGCTTTCCGAGCCACGTATAAAGTTCGTGGACGATTATCGAGGCAAGTTCACTATCGGATGTTTGGATACACCAAAAGCGGTGAGCATTCGACTGCACCATCCGCCCTCTCAGTGTTCCGAAAAACAATTTGCGTAGGCGCTAAACCTTCCCCGACCAACACTCCACACACCGCATCACGCGTAATCTCGAGGATCGGATGAGTGGACAAACAACCATGTGATCGTGGTGACTTCAATATCCGGTCTCATGATGAAATCGTTTGTAGTAATCTATGATGTGATGCGCTTTATTTGATTATATTTTTTCAAAGACAATTTTATACAAAAGTAAGGATATGTGCAAAGGTGTATTACCGTTATTACGAGTATCTGAAAACGAAATTGAAAATATCTCGTTCATGGATGGCAGAGAATGTTTTTTTCATGTGCGTACACCCTCATCGTTAGTAGACTTCAAGCATTTTCAGTGGGATTCTATCCAGGCCGTGGGTTGATTAGTCCATAGTATTGAAGCCTCGATGCACCAGTCACATTTTAGTGAGTAGCACTATACGTACAGAGGAATTGTCGTGCTAGAAAGTCATATCCACTTTTGAATTTCTAAATTTTCCGGGAGAAAAGCTCGTTAAAGGTTTTGATGTGTGATTCCGTTGAGTGATTTTCTTCCGGAGTTGCCAAACAAGATTTTCCATCTGAATAATGTGCCCCAGACCATGATAAAGTCTACGCGGTAGGTTTGACTTCTGAAATGTAACTTGCTCACAATCAGGTCGTGCCGATTGTATACGAGTTCATCAGGAACGTCGAGATTATACGCGTTCCCGTTAGTGATTATCACGCTATTCCATTCACAAAGTCAGTCGATACCACTTTACACCCACGCATATCCACGTGTCGATCCATCATCTCTGGTGTCAATTTTATCCTCATGGAGAGCCAGGTTGGTACAGTTTGTAATAATTGCTGTGTATGCCGCACACTCACACCCCACTACAATGATCATTGTTACCTGGACTCGTCTGTTACCTAATTTTAACCACCCTACGGCGAATTTGTCTCGTACCTCGATCACAGCTGTTCCTTCGAAATGCGTATTGTACTAATGTGTGTCTGTCGAAATGTTACGAATAGCCCGTATCGGCAGACACAACAAATTCAGATTAGTAGGCTTCGCTGGCTAGGACACTTACTGCATATGTCCAGCTGTCGTCTGCCTCATTGCGCTTTATTGGCTGCAGCTAACCCGGGCTGGATGAAATCACATGGGGGTCAACAGATGACATGGAGACGAAGCATGAAGAAATGCACAAAGCCATTAGGTACAGCAGGTGTCTCGCGCGTTCCAAGTTTGCGTCCCAAAGACTCCACAACTGGTTGCTTGGAGACGTTAAAGGATACGACAGCGAACCGGCGGCAGTGGCGTTCTTGTTGTCGTTTCTTGTCAGGTCAGAACCCTTGAAACGGTATGTATGCAAAGTTCGATTGCTTACTCTGTGTGTTGAGGTTCAGCTTCTTCCCCCTCTCGCAAAATAAGTCCAATCCCTCTCCAAGGTTAGATTGAACCACTTATCTTGTATGCATTGAGAGTTTGGCAGCGATCAGTAAAGCTCGCTTTACTGTATTTCGCAGTGCGATGACGCTGATGACTATGATGATGATGATGATGATGATGATGATGATGATGATGATGATGATCAATCGCCCGTAGTGGTCGATGATTTTTTTTATTGATATTTTGATTACCCGTACCCAGGTTTTGGCAGATGATTACTTTTCCATCTACTGTAGACTGGCAACCAAGCCGACCGTGGAACTTCTTTTCGGGTTGGTTATACAACCTAGAATGGACGGCTGCTGAGATTTGCAGAGACAATTGCCATCAAGCTCCAAAAACCCCTGCTTTGTAGACAAAGGGAGATGCACATCAGTCTAGCCTCGCCCTGGTAACCACGTAAGCGGAAAAGTGAATTGATATCATGCTAGATTATGAATGGCTCGTACTGGTGTAAACATTTTCAGTGATCTTTGAAAAACAGTGCCAGATTTTGGCCGATAAGTACTTTTATCCCAGCTCTGATACCCTTAAACCGAACACATTGAATGTTGAACTTCTGTTGAACTTCTTCACATAGTGGATAGTAAAGACAGTCGAGTCCTGCTGCAAGTATAGTGAAATAGATTTTCTCCCAGTTGAATGACCGTCATATCTGTAGTATGCTAGCAGCGTTGCACTTCTGAGTAAATATCCGATTAATCAGCGAGCTTTTCTGTGTGGTTTGAGTGCCATTGTAGATTTGTTTAACAAACGATTTGCACCTGTAAGTATAAAATGTTGCTGCAGGACCGAGTTGGTTCTTTTTGCGCAGTTATTTCTCACCAGGTGAATGTAGCGTAGGTGAATAGTCTGCATGTGTAGAGCAGACTGAGTTTGCATTCGTCAACTAAGGATAACTTTCTCGACGTCACAACATCCGGTTGTGCTTAAAGGGCCGTGTATACGCTTCAGCAGTTCATGCAATGCTGCTTTACGCCAGAGAGACTTGGTTGTTACGAAAGCACGATGAAGATGCGCTACGGGTATTGGAACATCGTTGTCTTCGGCCCATTGCACGAGTCTGGCGCAGAAACCAGAGAAGGACTGTGGAGGTTAGGTGCAGAGTTTTAGTTGAGCGCGGTCAGCCAAAAGAGCAAGTACGCGAATTCTGTGGATGAATTTATTTGGGGAATGTGTGACGCATGTCACTAAGTGGATTGTCATGATGTGCAATATTCATCCTGGAAGGTAGTGAGCGGACAAACATCGAGGGTGGTTAAACCAAAATTGGCATGAAGGTATCAAAATCCTGATCAATAGACTTGCTCATATGTGTCACGTTAGGCTTCCTGGATGGTTATAGGCATTAGCTGATTTGTCTGACTACCCAAAAGTGGTGCTCTTGGATCCACGCAATTTGCTTGTAACACTAATCAGGTTTCATAATGACACTTCTTTACACATTCCAATCATTCCTCAGTACTTTCATCCAAATGGGCAGCTAAAATGCAGCAACCAAAATCATCGTACGAAAATTCCGGTATGATGGTTGGTAAAAGTGAAAGAAGTTTTCGACAACTGACAGTCTGTGGACTTAATCACAATGCATCAACTTGTTCATCGTCATTCACCCACTGTTAAGACGGAGGGCACAGAAGCCGTCAAGCCACGCATCGACCCGCGTCCTACCACAAGTGCGTTTGTGACGCCCAAAACCGATTCGATTTCGGATTGAATGAGTGAAGCGAATCAGACATCTGTCGTCCGGTCGATCGACCAGAGTATCAAAGTCGCAATCTGATTGGTACGTCATCACGTACACCGAATTCACCACATATACTTGCGTAGTGTCATGATCAATTATATATTCTGTCTTTCGTTTTCTCGGCCGTGTTCTCTCCCAGATATTTGGGGACTAGTCAAAATGTGCACGTATCGATCATACGTCTTGGCTAGACATAACACCCACCTTTCACCACATGCGTATTGATTAACATCGGATGACTCACCTAACACATCCGAGTTCAAGCTGACACCTGCAGGCTGTGCAATAAGCACCGAATGAGAGTAACACTGTTCCACATGCCCAGGAAAATGTTTTAGTAAAAATCAATTTGAAGAAGTCATAATCGAAATCCGTTTGACTTGCTCAATGTGGCAATCTGTTACATCCTCATCTTCATCCTAGTCATTATCATCTTTATCATCAACATCATTTTCATAATCATCATCATCGTCGTCATACGAGCCATCATTATCATCGTGCCAAATTTCATCACAGGAAAGCTGGGCGGGTTCAAAGCATCTCCCCTTCCATACATTTAATCCAAATGAAACTGCACAAGTGCAATCGGACAATATATAGCGTGAAAACGGGACTCACGAAAATAGGTGAATCGGACGGTGTGATTCAGCCGAATTCCAACTTCTTCGTACACACATTCCACTTCGTGTTGTCCAGAACCGGTGTCTTTGTCCACAACCAATGTATTATTTATGATATTCACGTAACTACCGCGTATTTGCTTCCACACGGGTTCTTTCTTCACGGTATACAAATCCAGTCCTATTTTGCCGACCAGTAGGCATTCATAGTTACCTGTCAGGTTAGGGCTGTGCTGGTTGTATTCCGGCCTTATCACTTCCAAATAAACATCTTTAGGGTCTGAAAATCGAAAACAGTGAATTAGTAGGGTAGTTGAGGTTTCGAAGCACGTTTATTTTCAGTTCAGTTGCAGTGCAAAAATATGAATCAGTTCCTATAGTAAATCCTGTCGAGAATTAGTTGGGCAGTTAGGCATGGAGGGCCACCCATCAGGATTTCATTTACCGTCAAGTGCACCAGGATTTTCGTTTTCGTTTTCAGTACATCAATTTGTCATTCTTCTGAGTAGATTTACGGAAAATATCTGAAGATGATGATTGCAAACGGTGACAAAGCAGGCTCTATGTAAGCGATCAGGATAGTGTCAGTGAAATCAGTGAAATGTTTTGAATGTGAAAGTCGGGAAGATCGTTTACAATGGTGATCTTTTGCCTTTTTGATCTAATATAACATCACAAGTTAGGTTCAGTTTCTAGATTTTACAGCCATTAACCATGTACATTCAGGCATGGAATAAAACTTAAGCATCTGACTAAATAACATGTGCAGTTAGATGGAAATCACAACTTATAGCCCACAATATGCCCCTGTGCTTCCGCGAGTAGTCGCAGAGTAGGTCTCAACCGCCAAACATTTTCATCAGCTGATTCTCGTAAAGCATCTTCTCTAGTAGTCATACTCATTGTTGACAAGATTGTTTTTATTAAGCTGAGAGTGGGAAATATCAATAGCTTAGGTGATGAGCCACATCAGCTAGCTCGTCCAGGGTACCTTATGAACCTAATTCCAACCTTTCAAGTGGAGACTCAGCAAACGGCTCCAGAACTTGTGATCGAAATATGTACTGGGCTAATCTGGAAATGCGAATTAGGGAGGCACCTCTAACGACTGTATGATATAACGGACCGGATGCTAACTTCAGCGAACTACAATTTTTATGGATGAACACTTTTTACTTTACCGACGGCATCAGTCGTGTATTTTCAAAAACTTCCTATTGCTTTATCTCGGAAAATCCATCGGTATTTCATCCACAGCGAAATCAAGGGACTCAAGTTTGATACATACGGATGACTATGAGTTCCAGCCAGGACTAAGCATATGACCAGTGAGCCGTGCAGGACGCCTTTCCAACGGAAATGAAATATATTTCATATTGTGGCCACGGAATGAACACCCCAGAGGCGAAACCCGCAACGAGAGCACAATAAAACCAAATGGTGTGACTGGCGCCTCCGATAATCGTATAGAATCAATAACAGGCATCGTAAATTGATTTGCTATCAAAAGTCAACCCTCATAAATTAAGGGTTACCATTAGGCGAATCGAACCTTTCCAGTGTTTAAGTAAACAAAAACTTAACCAAGCAGGATAATAAGCTGAAAAAGATGAATTGAACCTAATCATCTTTCACTACCGGTGCACTTACTAATCAATTGAATTTCTGTATTTCGATCCAAAGTGCCATCAAAAAGTTGACACTGAACTCGGTAGAACCCAGAGTACCGGAACGTTTCACTCACATTCAAGGCTAATAGATTTCCTCGGAAATAGAATGGTGATTGGTTTTTCCACACCTCCCAGTACATTGGTGCCCGAATCAAACAGCTCAGATCGGTACGATTCATGAATGTTAGTAGATCAGTTTCGGCATCTATGTAGGCCATGCGAAACGAGACCGACGTATTTTCACCAAACACGTAGAAGGGCTTTCTCGGTTCCGGGACCAGCATGATTGCACGACCTGCAGAAGGAGGTGGAGTGTGACCGTGAATTTGCATCAGGGCCATCATCAGTGCTGATGGCACATAATTATACTGATGGTAAAATGCATAGCACAAGTGTAACGCTCTAGCATCTGGCTTTGATTGGTTTACTAATTAAATTGTATTGTAGAATTATAATTGCATCGTTCGATGAGAATAATACACAGCGCCCGATAACTGTGAAATCTAATCAGCTAGTTTCAGTTTTCACCTAAACAAGCATTAACCGTACACATTCGTGCAGTGGTTGTGGTTGCCTATTTGGATGAACCAGTGAATCCATGATTGGATTGTGGAAAGCAGTGTCGAGATGATAGTTTAAAAATTCATGCAGACTACGATTGTAAGGACATTGGTGGCCCGGTGGTAACGTCACCGAATTATCGCTCCAGGGATGTGTGTTCGAATCCCATTACCATCGTATGACTTTCCCTATTACGTGTTGAATGGTAGCGCTCTGACTGGCCGCTTCCCCCTTCCTGAAAAGTGTATCATTGCATATTCAATAAAAGGAAGTAAAAATTAGAAATAAAAGAATGAACGAGCGTCACTCTTTGCGTCACTCTACCACATCACACATTATCCGGAGCCATTGAGTACGATGCACTCAATGTTCTCATAGAGGAAGACTATGGCAACCAATGTGAGTATTTTTGTTGCTCAGGCTACCATTTACTTTTCTCCATTCACGACCTTCCAAGGCAAACATCATGTAAGGTGACAATCTACTTGGTGGTATGTGCAACGCATGCCCCAACCGGTGTAATCTACGGAACTCAATCACCAACTCCAGTGACTGACTGCGTTTACTTAACAATTACGAATGAGCTAAGCGTCACATGACACCGTCAACTACGGATGTCAGCTGGTTGGTCATCAAAAACAACTGAAGACAAGCTTGTACACACAACTGAGTGCCTATTTTTGATTTTCCACTAGAGAAGAGTGCAGCAAAACTGATTAGAATACAAGGGATGTTGTACAGATTGAAATGGGCGCAACATGTAGTTCTCATGTAATATATATATATACGTATATATATATTCCGTTTTTCATCTAAGTAATACATTTTAACGGGCATTCTTTATTTATTGAGTGAACGCTCTGAACTGCTCAAACCTTTATGAAGTAAGTTGTGAAATGGAGAAAGAGATGACGTTCAGTAATTAAATGATANTCGTTTTCAGCCAACTCTGTATGAAATGGGCTAGATAAGTTGAACACTATACAGTCCAACCGGAGCTATCACCTGAAATAGAAATCTAATTGATAGATGATGACTAGCAATATTTTCTGAGATGAATAATGACTTACGAAACACATACACCGGAACAAAGCGAGTGTTTTCTGCACAGGACACGTTGTACTCATCCAGTGGGGGATAGGGTAAGGAAATAATAAGAACGCCTTGTTTAATATTCAAACGTCCGGTTGCATCTTGACATTCAGTGGTGACATGGACGCTCTGAGCCACTTGCAAT